AAGAAAGAAAGAAAGAAAGAAAGAAAGAAAGAAAGAAAGAAAGAAAGAAAGAAAGAAAGAAAGAAAGAAAGAAAGAAAGAAAGAAAGAAAGAGCCTTATTCAGCAGCAGTGCAAGCAGTCTAAGGCAGGGCTGAACAAATTTTCTTGGGCTCCAGGAGCCAACCCATATATTCAAGAGCCAAACTCGCCTTTGCAGTACTGTGTTTTAATGACCATATTGTCTAATTATTGCTGCCACAAAACCTCATGAAATGGGTCCAGATGAGACTCCACCTGGGAACATCTGAGCCAGCCATCTAAGATCTGGCCTGAGCATGTGTCCCTTCTGTTTCTTGCACAGGAGGAAAGCATTTGGGGTGGCAAAATGGTTAAAGCCCTGCTCTCTTGCACTTTCCATTGAAAAAAAACCAAACCACTGAGAGGATCCAACCACAGGTTGGCCAGCATCTTCTCTGGTTTTAAGCTTTGGATTAAAACAGGCAAAGTTAGCCCCTCGCCCAGCCTACCTTTTTCTCCTTGGCTATACGCTCTGCTCGGAGAGATGCAACTTGAATGGGAGGGAGGGGCTTATCGTAGCTGATTCCACTGGAAGGAAAGTGGAATAGATTAGCTTAGACACTTGGAAAGCAAAAAAAAAGTGCACACTCAGTCCCCGTTCTATCTATCCCACCCACCCCGGTTTTCGCGGTCTCGTAACCCTGCCCCAGGCCCAACTGCCAGTCAGCTGCCTACCTCTCTGCCAACACAGACGTGTGCTTTGGGTTCTTCTGGAAGGGATTCATACCGAGCCTGAAACAAAACCCAGAAAATATTGTTGGAAGGCAAACATGTCGAACATCCGTTGTGATCAGTGTTCCCTCTAAGCTGAGTTAGTGTGAGCTAGCTTCACAGTTTTTTAGGCTCCGACTCACACATTTTTGCCTTTGCTCAAGAAGGAGGGCTCCAGAGCAAACTAACTGATGCAGCGGCCAAATTGTTTGCTCACAACTTTAATGCCGGTAGCTCACAAAGTAGAATTTTTGCTCACAAGACTCCACAGTTTAGAGGGAACATTGGTTGTGATCAGCAAGAACGGAGTCCGGTCACAGACCTTAAAGCCCAGCAAGATTCCCACAGGGCAGGAGGTCTCAAGAGTCCCGGCTCCCTCGGTCGATGCCTTTGTGACAAAGAACCTCACGATGGCACCCTTCCGAGGGAAGGGACCCTGGCATGCACAGAGGGCACAGCACAATCGTGCTCATGTGTACAGTAAATCTGTTGGGTTGGGAAACACACACACCGGGGGGGGGGATTTGCTGTAAGGCCTGTGACTGGAGTGTGCTGGGGACATGAGTTTCTGGGAAGCTTCGTCCACGCCCACCCGACTGTCACCACTGAAGGGCTAGTGCACACACAGCGGGAGACAGAGCCCTGCGTTTCCAGATTTCAACATTTATTTATTTTATTTTATTTACATTCAATTTATAGACCGCTCACCCCCCTAAGGGCTCTGAGCGGTTTACATTTGTACAACTACTAATTACATTACCTTTACTAGGGCCACACACAGTGAGGGGGAAGTGACAACCTATCAGGCACCCATGGCAGGGACTTAGTTGGAAGGAAAGGTGTGTTGATGCAAGCGGGAGAACCACAGGCACATGCCAAGAGCAAGCGGGAGAACTACAGACACGTGCTGAGAGAGACAGAGAGAGAAGACAGACCAAGATAGTCCAAGAGGATTATCCTTGAAGACACGTGAAGCTGCCTTATACTGAGTCAAACCATCGGCCCATCAAAGTCAGTATTTGTCTACCCAGACCGCAGCAGCTCTCTAGCACTTCAGGCAGAGGTCTTCCCTTATCACCTACTACCTGGTGTTTTTCATTTGAGATGCCAGGGATTGAACCAGAGGCCTTCTGCGTGACAAGCAGACACTGAGCCACTGAGCTATGGCCCATCTTCTTTTTTTCCTTTCTTGCTCCGCAGGGCCCGGCCCATGTGTTTCGAAGCCCCCTCTCAACTCCAGTCTTCTCCAGACCCTTAGTCCCTGCTGAATGTGCTTTTAGAGGGCAGCCGGATTGCACTGCACTGGCCCCATCCTGGACGTCTGGCTGCACACCCACAGCACACTCCCCTGCATGCACAAGTGTCTGCGCACTTCCACATGACAAGAGGCAAGACGTGCATTTTCTCAATGAATACAGTACAGACAGTACGCAACCCTTCTGGCAAACCTTGCTGAAAATAAAATTAACAAGTACACTGCAGACAGACGACAGAGAAAGCTACGGCATCAACAGGTCTGGAAAAGAGGCGTCACTTATTTCTTTCCTTTTTTTAAAGGGTCCATCATCCGCCTTCAGGTCTGCCCGGAGCTGGGAATCAGCCACCTGAATGCCTCGGTGGACACATTCAAGCCCCGTGCCTGCCTCTTTTCTGTCCCAACCCTGCCCACAAACACGTTATTGCAGAATTCAAAGGCAACCGACAACTCTTGCCTGCTACCGACCCGGAGAGCACCGTTTGTGTTCCAAAGTGTCAACGCGGGAAAGGGTGCACACTTACAGTGGCTTGATCGGGGGGCTTCGCTTCCCAGCGATCATCTTCATAATCTCAAAATGATTCGTGTACAGCTGGGTGTGCATCGCGCCCTCGTCTTGGGCGTACAGCTGACTGGTTCGAAGCGGGCGGCTGTTCTTTGTCTAAAGGGGAGCGAACGACAAGAAGTTTTATGTGGAGCAGTGAGGGGAAAGGGGAAAACATACACACACACACACACACAGAGTGGTGCTTCTGCTTTCGTATAGGAGAATCCCTAATCTGCTACATGCGCAAATACTAAGAATGGTTCAGGAAAAGACTCTGGGCACGTACACTTTTGGGGAGACTGGGACACCGTGCAAATGCAGCAACACCCCCAACCTCTTAAAGAGACGGTTCAGACAAGGGAGAAGTGAGCCAGAGACTTGCATGTTCTACTCCCCCAAATATGCTTTTCATTTCTTAAGCCAATCGTAGTGCAGCATTACGCTGATTGAGACAAGCTGCGAGAGCCAGCTTCTGGGACCAGAGTTTGAAGCAGATTTGCAAACTCTTATCTAAGACTTAACCTTGACATGAGTAGTGCTGACACTGGGGCAGCTGTATCTGTGGCTAACTCGGAAGAGGGAGCAGGAGAGACAAACAAAACAGGGGAGGAGGGGCCAGTACGGTACAGCGGTCAGACTACGACCTGGGAGACCCTGGTTCGAATCCCCACTCTGTCATGGAAGCTTGCTGGGTGACCTAGGGCCAGTCACAGAAACCCAGCTGAGCCGATCTCACAGGGGCGTCACGAGGGTAAAAGGGAGGAGAACCACGTGAGTGTCTTTGAGTCCCCATTGGGGAGAAAGGTGAGATACCACAGAAGTGTTTAAGAGACTGGGAAAGGTTACAGCCGGCACCAGGCCTACACACTGCCAATCGAAATGTGACCGACGTCACAGGGCATACAGGAACTAATCTGTAACCTTATTACAAACAGCATTTGGAGGGAGTGATACTTTAGAAACTGCCTGCACCTTTCCCAGGTTTTCTTGCAGTGGTGGAATGGATCCTCAGATCCAAATCAGAGATAGGGTGGTGCTTCTGCCTCACACCACCGCAGCAGGCCAGTCAGACAGTGCCAGATGACTCTCAAAGCCCCATGGGTTATAAGCACACTGGGTGCCCCTCAATGGCTCCACTGATCTTCCATTCTTCCAAAAAGGCTCAGAGCAGACAAACTGGGGAGCTCCAGAGCGCTCGGAGGAAGAAACTGGAGGGCTGCACCGATCTTTACAGGCCAGCTAACAAAGAGGCAACTCTCAAAAGGATGCTAAAACAGAATTGGGCTTCACGGTTCGTTTTTTGAGAGAACAAAATACATTCCTGGCTTAGGGGGACAAAAGGGGAGCGTCTGCCTCTGATGAAAGACTATGAGAAACTCAAAATGCACATGGAAAGAAGATAATCAGACCGGGGGGGGGGGGATGTTTCCCCCCCAAAAGTCTGCCTCTCCAGTTTCCCCTGGTCTCCCCCATTCAGGCCTGATCCAATCAAGCGGTCCTAGATCATGTACTAGGTAAGTCTAAAGGCGTATATGCTCACCACTAGCCTGACCTCCCAACAAATATTATATGTTAACCTGCAACACCCTCAGGAGTTTCCCCTAAAGGTATTTTGCTGATCTGAGAAAAGAGTTAAGCAGGAACTACTCCCAACTGGCCCCACCCCTTCGTCCACCCTGCAGCTTTTGAGAATACCGTTTAGATATACATAGATCATTTCAAATACTATCACTACTTTGAAACTACGTTTCTGGCAGCTGAAAATTGGGGGTGATACATTACCTGATGGGGCGTTGCAGGGGTTAATTCATTAAATGTCTGCAAAGCAATCAGATTTCAAAATGAAAAGTAAAAAAATGCTAGCAACAGAATGTTTAGGAGAAAAAAAAGAGAAAGTACTAATTGAAATAATCATGCGGAATGAGGTGGCATTTCTTGGAGGTGGACAAACCCTGCTTTTTTTTCCCCGTTTTCTTTTTCGAGGAATTCAAACTGCCTTAAAGCGGCTCATTGTGAGAACCGCGCTTTTGATCGACAAACTTTTTCCTGAGACAGGGGCGCCTGGCGCCGTGCTCTACTGCGCCGACGTGAAAACGCGAAGGCTTTAAAACTGCCGATTTCAGCGTTCAAATCGGGACTCAAAAGACGAATCCGTCCCCCTTCTCCTTGTGTCCACCTCTGATGATGCTTAAAGATACCAGACTGTCTGCATCAGAACAACAATTTATAAGTGCACACCTTATAAATGCTTTTTGTCTTCTTCTTAGGGTTCGCTTCATACATAAGCTGTAAAATAAGAAGCAAAGTTTGACTTTCTGCGATGGGTTTCGGGGGCAGATCAGTGACATAAAAAGGATGTCTCTATTAGAGCCGGTGCTGGAAAAGAGGGCGGGGCTGAAAGCCCGGGAGACTGGGGCGGTCACATCCCTGATCACAGGGGGTGAAAAAGAAGCATGCCAAAGGATTCGGACAAGCCACTGTGTCTCAGTTCCCCTTCTGTAAAATGGGCACAGTGGTGCCCTACCTCACAGGGGTCTGTAAGGGCTCTTAAGCACGTTGAACATTTTTTAAAAAAGTGTGCCACATAAAATATTATTAAAAAGGAGGATTTTTTTTTAAACTAGTTTTAATATGACTAGCTTGCACCGCTTACAACCCCAAACATGGTGCAAGATAGATGCACAGTTCCGGTGACACCCACCTTCCCTTCCTCTCTCGGAATGACGACGTTTTCGTAGCGGCTGCGGCACTGCTTTGGAGAGCGATACACACGGCTGCAGGAGTTCACCACGTCACAGACGAGGTCCCAGTTGGGGGTGTGGGCTGGGGACACAATGGCGAGGTTGAGCGGGAGCTCCAGCAGCTGCTTGACTGCCTGAAAATGGGAGAAGGGGGGGGTGGGGAGAGAACAGAAGATGGCAGAGGGATCAGCTACTGGCAATATCATTAGTCTCCTTCAGTACTTAACTTTGTTGGATGCCTTATGGAAAGGCAGCAAGATGGGGCTGCTGGCGGACAAGGTAGAGGCCCTGCATCCCAGGGTGCATGTGTGGAGGGAGGTTCTCCAGATAGGCAGAAAAATATTCCCCCCTTTCATGCACTGTCAGGACTGAGCGTGCTCATTTTTCTCAAGAATGCCAATTACAGGAAGATTAGAACTATTTGGGAGGCCACTGTCCAAGAGACTAGGACTGCCACCTATTGCACCGTTTATCGTCAGCATCGTCCTGCTCTTACAGAAGTTTAAAACTCTTTGTAATTCACTTCCTGTATTTGTTCACGGTATGTCATTTCGTAGACTTTTTTGCTTGTTTGTTTGTAGTGTGTTCTGGTTTTGTAATCCGTGTTCTATTGCATTATTTACTGGACGTCTTACGCTATTTGATTATGAGTCTCGGCCAGGAAGGTGGCCTATAAGTAAAGCAAATACATCAATAAAATTAAGGGGGAGGGAGACACGAGGGAAGCAACAATGGGACAACCGGCCCACAAGACCCTAACACAAGGGTGTTGAACTCATTTGTTATGAGGGCCGGATCTCACACAGACGAGACCTTGTTGGGCCAGGTCATGTGTGCCATAAAATGTAATGCCAAGTAGAAGAGATATAAACTTTGTAAAGGCACAAACGCAAAGGGGTTTGTTTGTTTTTTTACTTAAAATAAAAACATGCTTAAAACATTAGCACTCTTGCAATATTTTGTTTATTTAACAGTGTCTGATAACTGACACCTCTTGCTCTGAATTATTACATCAAAATGTCTGTGCTGTTGCCATCTTGAGTATGCTGTTCAGGTGACGCAGCAGCAGCAGCAGAACTGGAAGAAGAAGCAGAAGACAGCCAGTTCCACTGCGGGCCTGATAGAAGCCCTCCGGGGGCCTAATCCGGCCCCCGGGCCGCATGTTTGACACCCCTGCCCTAACAGCTTACAACCTCCTCGTGGGAAAGGGGTGTGCTTCCCCTCTTTACCCTGTCCTCTATGGAGACATTCTGCTCTGCCATCTTGCACTACGGTGGAGGGGGGAAATCTCAGCACGAGAAACCAGTGACACTAGCACCGGGAGCAAGCTTAACCACGCTCGTGTTCTCAGGTATACAAGCCGTATTCTCCCATCTACACACAAGAGGCAGTGTGGTGTAGTGGTTAAAGTGTCAGACTAGGATCTGGGAAACCCAGGTTGGAATCCCCACTCGTGCCGTGGAAGCTTGCTGGGTGACCTTGGGCCCGTCACGCACTCTCGGCCGAACCTATCTCACGCGGTTGTCGTGAGGATAAAACGGAGGAGAGGAGAATGATGCAAGCGGATTTGGGTCCCCCCCCCCCCCGGGGTGAAAGGCAAGATGTAAATAAAGTAGCCCTGACCTGGATAGCCCCGGCAAGCCCGGTCTCGTCAGATCTTGGAAGCTAAGCAGGGCCGACCCTGGCACGTGCTTGGATGGGAGACCTCCTTGGAATATTGGAGGTGGGAGGTGGGGGCAGGGAACATGAGCCACCTCTCTGAAACGGCCAAGCCTCGCTGGGGGTCATCAGAAGTCAACCATGACTTCCAGGCATACACACACACACATAAAATACCCCCCCCCAAAAAAAGATGGAAACAAAGCAAATAAATAAATAAACACAAGCAGCTGCCATTTTCTCCCATGGAGAAGAGGCTGGGGTACTTCGTCGAGAGCTCCATTGTACCCCCTCCTCAATAACCGGGCTGTCCCTGGGAAGCGTCACACAAGGGGCACCCACTGCACGTCTGGACCCACTGGGCTAGTAGGTTTGCTGGATTTGGGGAGGTGGAGGATTAACCCACCCTTACCTGGAGCAGGGCCCAGTCTTCGCTGATGAGCCATTCCGGGTTGTCCTGGCCCGCCTCCGCCGCCGGCTTCACAAGCGTGGGCAAGGGCTTGGCGAACTGCGTCTGCTGCTTCAGGAGGATGTTCTTCTTCTGCTCCTTCCCCTCCCGCCGCATCTTCAGCATCCCAGGAGTCGCCCGGTCAAAGAGCGATCGGGGCGGGATGACCGTCTCTCCGTGGCGCTGCTTCTTCTTCCTCCCTGCAGCTGGAAGAGGGACGCCAGGCTCAGGGAGAGGAGGTCGAAAAGGGCGACAGATACGGGAGGTGCCAAAAGAATGGACCAGTTCTAGTGGTCAGTCTTTGACATCTCGTGACGCAGCAGCGCACCCCTGTACACTGGAGCAGAGAGAGGTACCAGGACTGGGTTCCTATCCCTACTCAGTCTCCAATTTCATGGCTTTTAGCAAGCACTAATTGTACTGCTCTGGGCAATTCCTACAAATTATAGGAGAACCTCCGTCTCCTTGGGAGTCCCACTGCTCACCTATGAACTCTTCTGTGCTTCAACAGAGGTGAGAGGCTCTCTCCACATCTCAGCTATAAGATGGGAGGGCGGGCAGGGAACTGCACCAAACTACACCAAACTGCCGTGCCACCTGTTTGGGTTTACAGCTCAGTTTTAATCTGTTTTAACTATTTGTTATGAAAGATTTATTGTGAAATGTCTCAACTCTTACTGGGAAATGTTTTAACCCCTACTGCTGTCATCCGCCCTGAGCCCGCTCGCGGGGAGGGCAGAACACAAGCCGAAGTTAATAAATAATAAATAGCCTCATACGGATGTTGTGAAAATAAAAACAGGGGTTCTAAAGCAATCTGGGAGCTCAAAGTGCTTCCGATACGGTTGGACGACACAAGGTGACAACTGACATTCGACACACGGAGCAAACTCTTGGTCTATCGAGGTTAATCTTGCTCAGGCAGGCAGGGGCTCTCCAGCGGCTCAGGTGCATGTCTTTCACATCGATTGCTACTTAATCAGATCCTGTAGGTGACGGGGATTGAACCTGGGACCCTTCTGCATGCAAAGCAGGTGCTCTTACAGTTGAGCCACAGCAGCTCCTCAAGAAACAAATCAAGCTGGGGAAATGTTTATGTCAGGTAGGGGATAATATGATAACACTGAAATCATATTTGACTGACATCTGGGTCACCTCTTCGGAGCGAGATCTTATTTGTTCTTTCTGCTGAACATATTGGTTTTGTGATATCTTTGACGCTCATGGTACCTTATCATCTGAATCACGTACTCCTCCATTAAGGACTGATGTATCTGATTTGCTACCCTTATTCAACTCTTCAGCATTTATGAGAGGTTCCCTAGAGGTCTCACGTCCCAGCAATGGCTGAGTTGAAACTTGCTTAGCTTTAACGATGGAAACACATCAGCTGAAGAGATCTTCCTGTGCAATGTCTTACATTAGTCTGCACTGAAAAAAGGGATTTTCTTTTCTGTCTTTCTTTTTTACTTGCAACTGGGTGATATGTAAGCAATTAACCACTTGCCCCAAACCAATGGCAGCTTTCAACATTTCCCAGACTGTTACAATAAATCCACTGTAGTTCATGATTGATCCCAAAGCCAAATCGTCAACTTTGCTTTCTACTGGGGGAAAAAAACAAACTCCTTTTTGTCCTGGATGGGTACGGAAAAGCTCAGTGCCTTTCTATCAAGCGCAGATCCCACACCAACCAAGTATTTACCGGACGGATCCGTTTTGTGGCGTTTGCGCTCCTTCCGAACGTACACGGGAGGCAGTTTGGATTCCGGGATCGGGGTGGTCTCATACATCAGACACATGACAGAGTCGATGTAAATGTCGTTGTCGTCTTGAGGCGGCGTGGGGGGAGTCCAAAGCTGCACAAAGCACCACAAGAGAGTTTGATCCCTGCTGGCTTCCTGACCTTTTCTCCCAAAAGTTAAAAAGAGGCAAAATAAAACAGTAACTTTGACCCACCGGCATTATTTCTGTTTGTCCATCTGGGCCTTCGTAGACATATTCCTTCATGGGGAAAAGGAGACCACAGTATTAGTGGATGGGACCAGTGTTCCCTCTAAGCTGAGTTACTGTGAGTTAGCTCACAGTTTTTGAGCCTCCAGCTCATACATTTTTGTCTTCGCTCAGGAAGGATGGCTCTAGAGCAAACTAATTTATGTAGTAGCCAAATCGCTCGCTCACAGCTTTAAAGCCAGTAGCTCAGAAAGTAGAATTTTTGCTCACAAGACTCCACGGCTTAGAGGGCGCATTGGATGGGACTCGTTTTAAGAGTCACTGATATACATGAAAGCAGACAGGTGTGTTCACCTTGCTATAGGCATCCTCCCGAGTGTAGGTGAGGAGCTCCTCCTCCTCCCCGCCCAAAAGCATCTGCTCTTCTTGTTCTTTCAGCTCCTTCAGGCGATGCGTCTCCCACACCTTTTTCGCAGTTCTCACTTCCATCTAGACGATGATACGGCAGCGTTAAAAGTCAACCCTATGCAGAGGGAGACTGATTCTCCTGGACTGAAACTGTCTTATGGTTCTCGAAGCATTTTTCAGGGCACGGAATCTTTCACACGCTCCCTCTCATCCACCCACCCACCCTCCACCCAAAGGGCCTGACGAGGACAGTGTCTGCTCCAGGCGGCAAGGAATGCTAACAGAAGGTAGGCATCACTTAAAGGGGAGGGGGAACAGAGGGGGGTGAGAACAGGGCTCGATCGAGCCTTTAAAGGGTATCCTCGGGAAAATATGGGTTGGGGGAGGGATTTCCCAATTATTTCTTTCCCCCCAGTGAATTCTTGCAGGGTCCAAACAGGTTATTTATTATACCTGATTGTCTTTCTTTTCACTGTCATCCGTGGAAACATGGAACAACTCCAGATAATTCAAGGCATACTTTTCAATCGGGGTGAGCTAAGAGAAGAAGCAGAGAAGTTAACTGCCCGGCCAACAGCACATTAAGAAGCGGCAGCAGAAACTATGATTTTTTAAAATTAAGAAGTGCCTCTCAAGACCCTTGAAGTACTTGAATGAGCAACAGACTGTCAGTAGGGACCATCTTGTTCTGCCAGGATGTATGTTGAAATAACAGCCTTACTAAGCAATCTAAATACGAACAGCCTGATTCTGGGACTGAAGATAATCACACCATTTGATTACTACTGATGTCCTCTGGAGAGAGATCGCTGCTAAAACCACCCTGCACGTATCTGAGAAAGGAAGAGGCTCTCAGGAAACGGGGAGAAAGAGAGAGCGCAGTATCTTTTGGTGTAGTGGTTAAGTGTGCGGACTCTAATCTGGGGAAACTGGTTTTGATTCCCCACTCCTCCACTTGCACCTGCTGGATGACCTTGGGCAAGCCATAGTTCTGATAAGAGGTGTCCTTGAAAAAGAGCAGTTTCTGTCCGAGCTCTCTCAGCCCCACCTACCTCACAGGGTGTCTGTTGTGGGGGGGGGAGGGGAAAGGAGTTTGTAAGCTGCTCTGAGACTCATTTGGGTAGTGAAGGGCGGGGTATAAATCCAATCGCGTCCTCCTCTTCTTTCTCATTTGCTTTCTATGCTTCCGAGACGGACAATGCCTATTTGTTGCTCTGCTAAACGGAAATTCCATGTTCAGAGGCAATGCATCCCTGAACATTAGTTGTGGGGAGGCAATGAGAGAGCCTTGCTGGAGGGCTTCCCACACCTTTGGGTGGCCACTGTGGGACACGGGACGCTGGACTACATGGATGACCGGTCTGATCCAGCAGGACTCATGTCTGTCTATAGGTACAGTTTCATCCCACCTTCCTTTCAAGGAGATGAGGACCCCACAAATGGTGTCCCCCCCCCCATTCTTTTCTCAACAACAACTCTGCAAGGAAAGTTAGTCTGAGAGAGAGAGAGAGAGTAGGCTAACCCAAAGTCTCTCACTGAGCTAGGGTCTCCATGATCCTGATCCAGCACTCTAACCCACTACGTCACACGTTTGTGGTAAACTAGCAGGAAGCCGGCAAGCAGTCCAGAGGCACAGCCCATCTCTCCACACTGCTAGCCCCAGACTAGGAGACAATGCAAGACGCTGCAACGTATGCCATGCCTTTAAAAAAACACAAAAAAAACCTGTGTTGAACAGGGGCCTGTCCTGCCCCTAAAGGGAAAACAGCCACTCACTCCGCTGCTTCATCCCTCAGCCTATAGGAGTGCGGCTCCAGCATCCAGTTGCCTTTCGGAGGGGGGATGGAATGTCGGGGGGAAGCACAGAGACAATTTCGTCCGGGGATGCCTCATCGAGAGTGCAGCCAGAGTTTTGGGTCTGCCTTAGTAAAAGGGCAGACGACAAAAAGCCACCCTGAGCCCGTTCGCGGGGAGGGCGGGGTATAAATGCAATAAAATAAATAAATAAATAAATAAATAAATAAAAGGGTAACTCTGCTTGGTAGCGTAGCAGAGTGATTTAACCTACCTCTGGGAAGGGACTGATTGTTTGGCCCATCTTGGTCTATGAGCAGACCTCGTACCATTTAGTCTGACTCTTGAGAAAGGGCAAGCGGGTGTGGGTGGAATCCTGGGTGGGTGAAAGAATCGGAGCTGGTGGCTAGTCAGCAAAAGCCTGCAAGCATTCAAGAGAACCATGCTCCAAAGCCATACCTAGCTTAAATTTATGTGCCTCAGCCAGGTTTCTCCTCTGACTACCTGGAGACCTTGTGTTGTGGATCTGTTCTTTAAAACCAACCTGAATAACTCTTCTTCGCTATTTACATACATCTCCTGCCTTATTGCCCTCCATGTTCTTCTTGCGCATCACAAAACTTACCTCTTGGCAATGAAAGCAAAGCCTTTACACCAGCTAACCTAAGAACATCTGGTAACTGAGGGGAAGGCTTATACTAGTCCTAAACAAACTTGGTTCCCCCAAATCATAAGAGGCCAAATCATCAGCTGGCAGAAAGGACCTGTCACAACAGCCTTTAAAAAGGACAGGCCTTGTAGCAGGGAAAGATCGGGGTTCAAAGGCAAGCGTCATACAATTTTTTAAACAGTACCGCTACATAATGATCTAAACAATTTAAAAGGATTAGCTCCCATCAGCTGAAGTTACGTCATTTATAACAGCCCGGAGATGTGCTTGCTATGGGACTCGCAGTTAAATCTTATGCAGAGTTATTCCACTGTAAGCCCACTGATTTCAACGGAAATTACTTTGTAGAGGATTGCACTGTTAGTCACAGCTAGCGCTGTTTTAATTATAAATGCTTTTTTTTACTATACCGTTTCCCATTGCTTGCAATTTATAGTCTTCATCAGAATTATGACTGTTTGGATACAGAAACACAGTAAGGAGGATTTTATGAGAACCAGGTGCAAATTATTTATTAATGTTTGATGAGCACCAGATTCCGGGTAGAGAATGAAAATAACCTCAGACCTGTAGAAAGTCTCTGCTGTTGTTTTTAGTTCCCTGCTTATTTCACAGCAGAAGAAGCACATCTCCCCACAGTTCCATTGGCTGTTTTATGGAGCATAAAGGGTGCTGGGAATTTCCCAGCTCTCAGAGACTGTGCATTCGACCACACACACCCCTTTCCACGCTAACAGCAGATAGCAGTTTGAAAAAAATCATGCAAACTGCGAAGAAAGTAGAGAACTTTTTGTCCTTCTCTCATAATACCAGAATTTGGGGTCACTCAGTGAGTCGATTCTTGACAGATAAAAGGAAGTCCTGCTTCCTCACCTAGTACAATTAAGTTATGGAACATGAATACATACATGAAGCTGCCTTATACTGAAACAGATCTTTGATCCATCAAAGTCAGTATTATCTACTCTGATGGGCAACAGCTCTCCAGGGACTCAGTCTTTCACCTCATCTGCTTAGAGATGTAAAATTTCCAGAAATTTTGAAGCTCGGAAAAAAACCCGTTTTTTTTTTCCTTTTTTGGGGGGGGGACGGAAATTTTCGGAAAAATTGAAAAAATGCTACATTAGCATTTCTTTTGACTTTTCTAGATTGAAAGTCATTCTGTTACTTTAGGAACATAAAATATGACTATGGACATTTTTAACTTGGCATGAAATTATCACAACTAGCATATTAAAAATATAGTGTATCCAAACAATTATTACAAACAGAATACAAAACTGAAACTTTTTTATTTTCTTCTGACAATCGCACCTCCTAAAGGAAGAAATGCATCTTGTTCTTGCATTGGAGAGTTCAGTTTGTAACCTAGGACTTGCTTGTCCTCAGTGCAGAGAAATTAGATCAATCTGATACCATATATATATATATATATTAGAAATGATTTGGAAAATATTTGCACACCTTGTCTTAAAATATTTTATTCATCATGTTAAAATAAAACTTCCATAATCAATTTTTTTTCTTTTCTTTTTTCAATTTTTCCAATTTTTCAGAAAAAAACAAAAAGGCTTCAGTAAAAAAAACGGGGGGAAACGTTTTTCCCCTGAATTTTTCCGGGTTTTTTCCGGGCCTTCACATCTCTACACCTGCTGCCAGGTCCTTTTACTGGAGATGCTGGGGATTGAACCTGAGACCTTCTACATGCCAAGCAGAGGCTCTACCACCGAGCCACAGCCCATCCATCACAATGTGGTGGATGACCACTAGCTTCTAAAAGGGGACTAGAGGAATCTTATGGAGGACACGTTCAGGGGGGTACCCGTGTTGGTCTGAAGCAGCAGGACAAAGTTTGAGTCCAGTGGCACTTTTAAGACCAACAACGTTTTATTTGGGTGTAAGCTTTCAGGTGCATGCACACTTCTTCAGAACATGTCAATCAACGGAACCCCAATATTCAGAGGCAGTGCACTTACAAATATCAGCTAGTGGAGTCAATAACAGAGGAGAGCTGTTCTGTCCTGGCTTGGGGGCTTCCCAGGAATATCTAGTCGGCCACTGTGGAAACGGGATGCTGGTCCAGAAAGACTTTTAACCTAATCTATCAGGAAGTTTCTTAGATAGGTATCAGTGGGACGGGAGGGTACCTGGTCCACAACAGTAACCAGCTCCTGCAGCTGAGAGGGCTCATCGAGATACCGGGACCTGCCAAACTCCGAAACGAGAGGCTCCAAAGTCGATTCAGTCTCCATGTCCTCAACGTAGCTTTGGGACTCCTCTTCTTCTTCTCGCTCTGTACTTTTGAGAGCCTTTGGAAAACATAAAGAGGTATACAGCAGGCGTGCGAGGACTGGATTATGCAATACATCATGCAAACCAAGGTAACTTGCAAGGAGAAGATAGGGTGGTAGGGCACAATGGCTCTCCCCGTACTGAGTCACTCCTCTTGTTGTCAAGATTTCACCAAGCAATTGCCCATATGCTTTCAAATCAATCTTGGGAGTGGGCTTGTTTTTAAAAACACGAAAGCCCAGAGTCTCAGGATGAGAGCCACCCCCATCACCAAACCCCACAGCTTTGAGGAATGCACAGACGGCAAGATTATGAATCGCTTCTGTTCATCCTTGCATTCCGCTTAGTACACATGTGGTGCACATAGCATATGAAGAAGAGTTGGTCTTTATACCCCGCTTTTCTCTACCTTAAGGAGTCTCAAAACGGCTTACAATTGCTTTTCCTTCCTCTCCCCCCAACAGGCACCTTGTGAGGTAGGTGGGGCTGAGAGACTTCTGACTGAACTGTGACTGGCCCAAGGTCACCCAGTAGGCCTCATGTGTCTCAAAGTGGCTTACAATCACCATTCCCTTCCTCTCCCCACAACAGTCACCTTGTGAGGTAGGTGGGGCTGAGAGAGTTTGGAGAGAACTGTGACTGGCCCAAGGTCACCCAGCAGGCCTCATGTGGAGGAAGAGTGGGGAATCAAGCCCAGTTCTCCAGATGAGAGTCCGCCGCTCTTAACCACTACACCACCCTGGCTTTCACTCAGTCAAGCGCATCAGACCTGACAGATCTCTTTGCAGGGAGGAGCCGGGGCAAGAGCTTAGCCCCTCTTCGGTCAAGCCTCAGCACAGGCTACCACACTTCTTTTATGTAGTACCCCCATCCTCTTCCACCAGTGTTCTTTTTTCAAATTTTAGACCTCAGGAAAGGGAACCATCTCCTTCTTACTGGGAAAGCACCGTGGCATGTTGATGGTGGAAGATGAAGTAGCAGCAGAACTATGCAGGGTTAAGTGCGCGGACTGTAATATGGGAGAACCGGGTTTGATTCCCCACTCCACTTGCAGCTGCTGGATGACCTTGGGCAAGCCATAGTTCTGTCAGAGCTGTTTTCTCAAGGCAGTTCTGGAAAGAGCTCTCTCAGCTCCACCTACCTCACAGGGTGTCTGTTGTGGGGAGGGGAAGGGAAAGGAGTTTGTAAGCCGCTCTGAGACTCCTTTGGGTAGTGAAGGGCAGGGTATAAATCCAATCTCCTCTTCTTCTTGTGTTTGGGGTAATCGAGCTGGTTTCAAACCCTGCCGCTCTCATCCTGCCGTTCACTGCCTATTGCAAGGGCAGCCCCCCCCCCCCTCAGCTTTTGTGACAGCCTGGAAGTCTACAACAGCATGAGCCAACCTAAGCTTTTGACTGCGCTGCCGCAACCAAGCTGCACGGCGCACGCCAACGTCTCTGTCTGAGGACAGATTTCCCAGTTTATCTTCTTAACTTGTTAAGAAAATTGGTCTGTTTATAGTCTGACCACACACAAATTGAACATCTGCATTTTTAAAAAGGCTCCAACGGCTCTCGGGGGAACCCAGCGTGCTACTGCCATGAATACTTCATAAACTTTCAATATTGCCTTGGAAGGAGAGCCAGCAAATAAAGACAAGTTTATCCTGCAGCGCAGACTGTTTGGGACGTCTCAACAGACAAATGGCAACGTTCGCTCCGGAAAGGCAATTGGCAGCTTCTGCCGCTCTCGTTAATGTGATTTGTGCTTAATTACCTCTATGAAAGGCCTCGCGACTTTGGGAGAGATCGTTTCTGCTGGGGAGGGCTCCTGAGAAAGCACCACAAACTCTTCTGCTTTCACGCGAAAGCCAGAATCTTCCATCGGGGAATGAACCTCAAAGAGTTCCTGAATGGTTTGCTGGGGAGAAACAAGAGAAGGGGAGGTTTTTTTTTCCTTTCCCATAACCCCCCCCCCCCCAAGGTGTTCTTTAGAAATTGTCAGTTTTGTGCGATTAAAGGTGATCCCCCCCCCCCAATTCACATCCTGCTTTTCCATTAAATTAACATCTAAGTCAGGGGTGTCAGACTCATTTGTTATGAGGGCCGGATCTGACATAAATGAGACCTTGCTGGGCCGGGCCATGTGTGTCATAAAATGTAATGCCAGGTAGCAGAGATATACACTTTGTAAAGGACACAAACACAAAGGGATTTTTTAACTTAAAATAAAAACATGCTTAAAACATTAGCATTCTTCCAATATTTTATTTAACAGTGTCTGATAACTGACACCTCTTGCTCGTAATTACTGCATCAAAATGTCTGTGCTGTTGCAATCTTGAGTATGCTGTTCAGGTGTGCATCTGTAAGCTGCAAACCTACGATGCCACAACAGCAGCAGAACTGGAAGAAGAAGCAGAAGACAGCCAGTTCCACTGCGGGCCTAACAGAAGACCTCCGGGGGCTTGATCTGGCCCCCAAGCCACATGTTTGACACCCCTGATCTAAGTCATCCAGTGGCCACTGTTGCTACTGGGTGAGTCAGGCAAATTGTATGGTGACAAGTTGGCAGTGGCTGTAGCTGGCCCTGGCCCCAATGAGTCCTCCCTCCAGGGCATGAGGGAAGGGAGTAGTGGTGGAATGGGAGATCAAAACTGGTCTGGAAAGGGTCCCCCCCCCTCTCCCCTCTCCTTTACTGACAAAAAACCAAGATTCAAAGCCTGGCAATATTATTGGGGGTGCCTAGCAACCCCCACGATGGCCACCAAGATCTCCTTTCGTAAAGGAAGAGGCACCGCTTCTGTTATTTTGGAGGCATCGAACCCCAATGTATTTTTCACATAATTTTTTTGCAAATCTGGGGGGTTTTCTCCGGTTTGCAGAAAGATCTGGTTTGTCTGTGGACAACTCCAGTCTCTAGATTTACGTATCCACAGGCTGGCCTGTATTTAGAATAAGAAACAGCGATATGCCTGATTGGAGGAAGCAGTAATAATAATCATACCTGTGTTAAAAAGGCCATTGAGTAGTCATTTCCCTGAGCAGCGACTTCTCGGATCAGATCTTTTGTACCATTCTTTAAGAGCTTCTCTTCTACAGAGTTACCACTGACGAGCCTGGAGAAACCAAAGATCGGCCAAATCTTAAAGCGGAAAAGTGCTGCCCTGAACTGGTACAGAGATGGGGTTGTTGTTTTTATTATTAAATTACAGTGGAAAATAATAATATGTGGGCATGTTAATGAGGACAGACACTAGGGCTTTTTGGTTTAGCTAAACGACGATAGAGGGGTGACCTGACAGAGGTTTACAAAATTATGCATGGGATTAAGGAGGCAGAGAAAGAAGTTCTTTTCTCCCTTGCACATAAGAACTCATGGGCACCTCAATGAAATTAATGAGTAGTAGGCTTAGAACAGATAAAAGGTAGTGCTTCTTCACCCAAATAGTAACTAACATGTGGAAATCATTGCCGTGGGAAATGGTGGCGACTTCAAGCATTGGCAGCTTCAAGTGGGGACTGGATAAACATACGGAGCAGAGGTCCATCAGTGGCTATCAGCTACAAGGTATAGCTGGAACACTCTGTCTGGGGCAGTGATGCTCTGTATTCTTGGTGCTTGGGGGGCCAACAGTGGGAGGGCTTCTGGAGTTCTGGCCCCGTTGGTAGACCTCCTGATGGCACCTGGTATTTTTGGCCACTGTGTGACACAGAATGTTGGACTGGATGACTGGATGGGCCATTGTCCTGATCCAACATGGCTTCTTTTATGTTCTTACAGAGAGGGTGATTCTACTGGGACAGAACTGTATTTCTAAGACATGGGACCCACAGACACACTGAGCCTGCCCTGGTGGGAAGGGCGGGGTAAAAATCTAAATAAATAAATAAAAGACCACACTGGAAGCCCCTGCAAAAAAGGGGGGACTTAAGCTATTTATTATTTTAGTATGCCATTATTCTGCCACAGAATTCAAGGCATGGATATTTATTTATTTACAAACATGCTGAAGATCACCTTTCTCTCAGAAATATGGAATCCAAGGCAGGTAATGACAAATAGTTTTTCAAAATATATTTAACCATCACGTTTGGCAGAAATCTGTAACAGAATTCACAGAATTCCCTATCGCTGTGCATCTGTGAGGCCCCAAACACTCTTTTACAAAAAGGTCCAGGCAACACCCCATCCAGGAACTGACCAGACAGAAACTTACTGAATCATGCACATTTGAACCATGGACTGGCAGGGTATTTAGAACATATCAACCTTCTCACCCACGTCATGAGCTGCAGTTCCACTCTGCCTTGCTGGATTACCTGTGCTGCACATTTTACGGTGCCATGAACGTACATTCTAAAGGCTCCTTACAGATCATCACTATGGCTAGCACCTTTGTACGTAAAGGCTTCCATCTGAGGCTTGGCCTCACCTTGAAGAAGGGAGGTGGTAGAATGCAACGTCTCATTGAGAGGCTGGGTGAAGGAAATGGTTGGTTTTTTTAACGTTCCCCTATCTCAAAAGCTATTTGCTAAAAGAAAACCAGCACAGGAGGCAATGAGCTGGCCTAGAACTGCGTTTGTAATTTTTCTCTTTGTGTGAGGCCCTGACTTGGATGGCCCAGGCTAACCAGCTCATGTCGGCTAAGAAAAGCCAGTGCATGGATTATTAGTTCACTAGGGAGCAAAGCCCATTGTGGACGGAGACAATGGGTCCCTAGACAGGTAGGGTGGGTGAGTGGGTGGGTGGGGAAAGAAAGCTGGGGAAAGAAAGGAAGAGAGACAGAGAGGAAGGAAGAAGGGGGGGAGGCAGGAGGGGCCGCAGAAGTCCCTTCCGTCCATCCAGCTTCCCAGGTGGGCAAGAGAAGCGGCACGGGGGGGGGGCGTAAGAAAGCCTCCTCCGTCTGTCCAGGTGGGTTGGCGAAGTGGGGCGGGTGGGAGAGGGAAATCGGGCCGCGGCGTGGGGTGCATTGCCAGCGCGCCCTCAGACACAGCGCTCGCCTCCCGCCTCTCAGCCCATGGCAGGGCAGTAGCCTTGAGCGGCAGCTGGGCGACACGGCCAATGGAAGGTGGGGAAGCTCCTGACGGACAGCGCAAGCTTCCAAAGACCGTTTGGTGTGCATTTTCTCTCCGCTGCGTGAAGCTGCGTCTGAGGTGGGACGTAGGCGACATGGCCAATGGAAGCCGGGGAAGCTTTTGACGGACAGTTCAGCCGTCGAAACACTGTTGGTGTGCATTTTCTCTCCTCTGCGTGACTCTGTGTCTTATTCAATTATATATAAGGGAGAGATTAGGTGGATCATCCACGCATGGACAGGAGACCACCAAGGCCGTTCAGGGTCACTGTGCAGAGGAAGGCAATGGCAAACCACCGCTGCTTGTCTCTTGCCTTGAAAACCCAATGGGATCACCTAAGTCAGCTGTGGCTTCATGGCACTTTACACGTATTTGTGTTAAGGGAGGGGTTAACCTTGGTAAGAGATCAAAAGTGGGATCTCACGGCTGTAGCCTCATATGGTACTACCTGTTCTACAACCTCCCCCGCCCGTTCAGTGTAGCCCCTTAGCCAAAGAACTGGCTCACAAGGGAGTCCGAAACAGAGCTCTCCATGTGGTCAGAAAGTTGCTGAAGTCACTCAGAGGCAATGCTCCCTCTAAGCTGTGGAGTCCTGTGAGCAAAAGTTCTACTTGGCATTAAAGTTGCGAGCGAACGATTTGGCCACTGCATCAATTAGTTTGCTCTGGAGCCATCCTTCCTGAGCTAAGGCAAAAATGTGTGAGCTGGGGGCTAAAAAACTGTGAGCTAGCTTACACTAACTCAGCCTAGAGGGAACACTGCTCAGAGCCAACAGTTCTGACAACTGTTGCGGGAGCTGATGGAGAGCCCCCATCCAGCCCTAGCTAGCTCTATTCTGCTGCCCACCCCCTCAGCCTCCAGCAACACCTGGCTTCTAGTGGCAGCAGGCAGAAACCGGGAAGAGACCACCATCTTGCTCACAGGTGTCTCATTCCTCTGCGGCTGCCAGAAACAGTCAGGCACTGCCCCGAGGCAGCAAGCAAGCGGAATGAACGTTTGTCAAACAGAGGAAGTGAAAGTGGGAACAAGGCCGTGGATTATGCCACCACAATCGGTGGCTGCTCCAGTCGCCTAGAGGCTGTTATAGCATGAGGAACTGTAGAAAAGAGCAAGAGTCCAGTAGCACGGCTACCCATCTTGAGCTACCTCCATGAGGAACTGTGAATTTGGTGACGCTCCCTTGTATTGTAGGCCCCTAGCCAGGATTTTGTGGCTTGTGGGGCAAATTGTTTTCTGGTGGGGCTGAAGTTCTCAGTGCAGAAAGCCATTTAGCCAATGGGAAGCTGTTACCAGGATAGATCTCTAAACTGCAAGCCGTCAACCACTTTAGATGACAGTTCTCAGCTGCTGCAAGTTAATCATTTCTGCCAGCCTAAGCAATAAGTCTGATAACAAGCCAGCAAGTGGGGGTGGAGACTTCTATAGCCAAGAAAGCTAACACTTAGGCAGAAAAACTCTCCTAAAGGAGACTAGTTTCTTGACACAGAGTTAGAAGGGATCCTAGAGGTCACCTACTCCAACCCAAGGGCTCAGTGCTGGAATTAGTCAACGACAGCACCCCGCTCTGCTTAAAGGAGTGCACGCCTTTTAAAAAGTGTTTTAAAATTATTGAAAAAAGCATTAACAGGAGAAATTCTTGTGGGGCTGTGGCTTTAAGAAATCTTTGGCGGAGCCCCCAAAAGCCCCACCGTAGCCACGGGCCTGTTGTATTCTACGGTTGTTTTAATATGATCTTACGAGAAAAGCCTTTGCTTTCATTTCACTTTCCACTTGTTATGCTGGCTGCTGGTTATGGCCTAGCAGGGCCCAGACCGGGCCTTGCCTCTGTTCTGATAAAGTTCTGAACTGTTTTTGGTACTGAGTGCTCTGGAATGATGACAGGCTTCCTCATGGATTTGCCCTGTATTAAGCAGCACAAATCGAGGGGCTGCAAAGTTCTACACAACTGGCCAAGGACACTTCCCAAACAGACACAACATGCAACTCCAACTTCGAAAAACTCTCTACTCTCAGCTCCCACAACTCCACTGCTGTTTGGCCACATCAACCACCTATGTACACATTCTGGAAGCCACAGAAAGTGCAGGGAGCTGTAATCCCCGCCCCCCCACCACATAACTCCCAACATACAGTGGTCCCCAGCCCCAGAAAGCAGTACAAAAACATCCTTGGAAACAGAGCAGCATCTTGCAAAATATGAGCATCACCTGTAGATATGGATGTCTTTGCACCTGCCGATTCGATCGCACCATTCCTGAGCCTTAGCATCCATCACCGGATTTAAGTCGTTGTCGTAGAACACGACGGTGTCGGCCTCGACAAGGTTGACCCCCGTGGAACGACTGTGGGAGGACAGGATGGCGCAGAAGATGCGCTTGTCTCTGTTGAACATCTTCATCAGTTCCTTGTTCAGAAGGGGGGTAGGGAGACAAAAACTGTCAAGTAAAAGCGGAACGGACTATATGGCGTTTAGCTCCTACCAAATGATTGGACGATGACACAGTCTTCATTTAGAAAAATGACCCCCTGCGTGGCTGATGACTGATGCTTGCGGTAAGACTTGGCTACAGCAAAGCCCGAATTGCAAAGTTAATGTTGCTTTGATTTTCTCAGCAACTTCTTATGAGTTGCACTCTGTACGTGTTCTGTGAAAATGCCCTGTGTTTTTTTTAAATTATGTATTAAATATATTTTATTTTTAAATTATTTCATTAGATTCCCTAACGAAGCTGTATACAAACTGCGTCGGAGTTGCCTAACTATGAAACATTCCGTTTCCCTCCGTGCCAATTTGCTTCTTTTTTCTTCGTTTTGCCTTGGTGCAGCCCACCCACCCCCACACCCGTTTTTTCTTCAAACTGTGGGCTGGGCCAGAAGAGCTCCCTGGAGGCACCTGCATATTTACTTGCCTTTGGCTGGATCCAATGCTCCCTCTAAGTGGTGGAGTCCTATGAGCAAAAATTCTACTTTATGAGTTTCTGGCATTAAAGTTGTGAGCGAGCGAATCCTTCCTGAGCTAAGACGAAAATGTGTGAGCCAGAGGCTAAAAAACTGTGAGCTAGCTCACACTAACTCAGTTTAGAGGGAACACGGGCTGGATCCAGACCAACCTGGCAATTTCCATTGATTCCCTCTTTCCCCCTGTTGTCCCTCAGGGTCTCCAATTCCCCGGGAGCAACGTTTTGTGGTGCTCAGTAGGCTTGGGGAAGGCAGGAAAGTTCTACTCTCCTGGTAGTCTGAATCCAACCCAATATATATATACCTTTGCTTTGCCATATAAGTCATCTACAGCTCATGATGACTTAAGAGACGCTACAATACTAAACACAATAAAAACAGTGACTCTGCACGCCAGTGTTCCCTCTAACCTGAGTTAGTGTGAGCTAGCTCACAGTTTTTTAGCCTGTGGCTCACACATTTTTGTCCTCGCTCAGGAAGGATGGCTCCAGAGCAAACCAATTTATGCAGTAGTCTAATCCCTCGCTCACAACTTTAATGCCAGTAGCTCACAAGGTAGAATTTTTGCTCACAAGACTCCACAGCTTAGAGGGAACATTGCTGCACGCACACAATGGCATACACAGGAAGTCCTGCGTATCTGAAATATTAAAGTGAGGATCGTGACCTTGAAAATACCCTAAGAGACCCCACGCCACTTTCTAAAACCCTGATGGCGTAACGAAAGTGGGTGTGTAGGAGCAATGATGGGTGGAGACACCATGAGGGGAAAAAAGGAGTTTCCTGAAATATTTTAGAAGAATTTTTTAAAAGCTTCATTTGGCACTTAAGGTCAGTGCCAGGTGTGCTTTGGCAGGGAGGGAGAAACACCACTTAGGCAGAAATAAATACTGAAGAGTCTCCTTTTCCCTGGAGCTCCCCCACTTAACTTCTTCCACAAACTCAGCGACTCAACAGGACACTGAAATGCTGCTCTTTGGGGGGGGGGGAAGGATCTCATTCACCCCTGACCTGGATGGGCCAGGCCAGCCCAATCTTCATCAGATCTCCAAAGCGAAGCAGGGTCAGCCCTGGACAGTGGCTGGGAGACCACCAAGGAAGTCCAGGGTTGCTACGCAGAGGTAAGGCTACGGCAAACCACCTCTGCTTGTCTCTTGCCTTGAAAACCCTGCAGGGTCGCTGCCAGTCAGCTGCGACTCGACGGCACTTTATGCACATAAGAAAACAACTAAATATGTGCAACAGCGCAAGTGAAACAATCCAAAGCATTCTACTGCAGAAGACACAGCTTTGTGCAAAGAGGGGCTACCCAGATCCTCTTTTGTGTACGGAGTATCCTCAGGCCCGGTTTCGAGCACTGCTCTGTGTATGCGGCAGAAACTTCAGGATACTGGATCAGAGCAAAGCCGTGCGAAGGAGGAGCACCTGTTCTTACTGGAGTACGGGAGAGACGCACCTCTCCTAGCTGGGCTTACCTGGCGTTCTTCCTGATTGGCGTATTCATCGATCCTGACATAGGTGAGAAAATGGAAATTCAAGAAGAGCTCCAGGATGTCCAACATGAGGATCATCTGAGACAAGATCAGCACCCGACGCCCTTCCAGCTTCAGCTTCTGAAGCAAGATGGCCAGCGCTTCCAGCTTCCCTGCATTTCAGAAAGAAGGAAGCAGAAACGCCTTCTCAGGGGGGCGTTCAACGCGGGACAGGCCTCCCGGACCTGGGCCTGGGGTGGGGTGGGGAGGTTCTTCACTACCTGCATCGCACTGAACCAGCCGGAGGTCAGGAAACTGAAGCAACTGGGGAACGGTGATCTGCTGCAGCTGATGCATGTAAGGAGAGACCTCCTCTTTCAGACGGCACCTGAGGAGCTTCATTCGGTGGCTGTACAAAGCGGGGAGCTTTGCCACGTGCAAAGAGGGAGGGGCAGCCACGGCTGCTGGCAGCACGCAGAGCCCCCTGGGGGGGAAGAAAGTAAAGAAACATTGCAAGCACTTCAGAAAGGTCGTGCCCAGCCCTGACTTGGATAGCCCAGGCCAGCCCGATCTCGTCAGATCTCGGGAGCTAAGCAGGGCCGACCCCTGGCAAGTACTTGGATGGGAGACCTCCAAGGAATACCAGCAGTTGGGAGGCAGGGGCAGGCTTTATTCGGCCACCTCTCCAGTAAGGGTCAGTCACCAGAGGTCACTATGACTTCCAAGTGCACAAACACTCGCGCGCACACGTGCACATATGGGGGGGGGGAACCCAAAAAAGGCCACGCCCAGGAGGTTCGGTGGTCCACAAAGCAGGACCTGATGGCTGGCAGCTTCGAGACCCAGTCCACCTCTACACATCTCCTAAACTTCCTAGATGGAAGGAAGAGCAGCTGGAGGCAGGCGGGGCGTAGGACTGGGGAGAGCACCCCTGTGAAATTGCAAGGGGTCCCAGAATCCATGTTGCAGCCCCAGTCGCTCAGGCTGCCCCAATCTCGTCAGAGCTTGGAAGGTAAACATGGTCAGCACTTTGGGGGGTGGGGGGGCCGCCAAGGAAGGCAGGAGCTGCCGTGCAGAGGAAGACAAGGGTCAACCACCTCTGAATGCCTCATGCCCGGAAAACCCCAAGAGGTGGCGCTTCAAGGGGTCGCACCAGGGATCGGCTGTGACCTGAAGGCACGCTTTACCTTACTCAAGGTTCATGTCGACTTTGCAGAAGGCATCGGCATTACCCCCACTCCCCACCCACCCCCGGGGGAAAGCGGCATGTGAGAGACCCTCGCTCCACTTGCAGTGGACCAGCTTCCCGGGCCCTGCTCTCCCTCGGCAGTGGGAGCGGGGGGGTGGAGCGCGGTTTCGGCTCTCCGTGCCCAAGGGTCCCTCCTGAAGCGGTCCACGGCTCTTACACAGAAGAGGGACAGCAAAGGAAACGGCAAGGAGAGGCTGAGAAGGCAAAGGAAAGAGATGCACTTCGGAGAAAGAGGAGGAACCTTCTGCGGAGCCGACAGGATGGGAAACGGGGAAGCTGCCGGCCCACGCTGAGATCGCCCCTTCCAGGAATGAGGAGGATGATGATGGGGCGGCCCTGAAAGCTCTGTCCTTGTTCCAAAATGCAAATCACGAGTGAAAGTTACAGTCACCTGTTCACCGCATCGGTCAGGGACCCCCGCTGCTGCTCCAGCGTCTGCACCAGCTCCCGCAGCGGATCGTTGCAGTCCCTGGAGGCATTCAGAGACAGGCGGCAGTTTGCAAAGCCGGACCATCTCCACTTGCTGACTCCGCTGGAGAACTGAGGAGCCCTCTTTCCGTCGGCCGCCACCGAACACGCCCCCACGAGGTCTCGGCCGTAGACGGGGGCCCTGGAGCAGCGACGTTCGTTGCAAGAGAACAGCCTGTCTAGGCGCTCCTTCAGAAGCCTGTTCTTCTCCTCAAACGATTCCTTTCACCAGAAAGAACGCCGGAGAGACACATGTTGAAAATAAAAGGAGATATAATAAAACTTCTCACGGCCCTTTAATCCAGAACTATCATTTGCCAGCACAACATCTGCAGGGAACTTGACGGATGCCGCCGGGCTCCGGCACTGCTCCTACGGATCGGAGTGGAGCTTTCACAGGTTAATACTAGATTAGGCTGTGTAAAAAAAGATGCTGCAGCTATGTATGATGATAATACAATACAATCTGTCATTACAAACTACTGGTAATTGTAAGAAACATATCAATAAGCATAGTACAATAAAAAGTCTTCAAGATACAATTCAGGCACATATAGAAGTTCAGGTAAATCATATGAATACAAATGCAATACGAAGTCTTCAAAACGAAGGATCCGGATATTAGTAACTTCATTTCGTAGTTCTTCCTCAAAAAATATCAAGCGAACAACCTCCACAAACGGGCAACCAGTCCTAATACTTAGAAAGAAATCACTTTCAAAACGATTGTCTGTTGGTGCTGGACATGATTTCTTTCAGAGGCAGCACCAGCAGACATGTGCCTGAATTGTATCTTGAAAACGTTTTACTGCATTTGTATCTATATGATTTACCTGGGCTTGACTATATGTGCCTGAATGTATTTGCATTATACTATGCTTATTGATATGTCTCTTACAATTACCAGTAGTTTGTAATTACGGATTGATTATTGTATTATTGTTAGATATAGCTGTAGCGTCTTTTTTTACACAGCCTAATCTAGTATTCTGCTTTTTGCTGTGTAACCCTCTCTTGTTCTTTTGCTTTCACGGGTTAAGTCAGGGGTCCCCAACACGGGTGCCCGCTGACACTTTTAACGGTGCCCGCCAAATATTTTTTTAGAAAATGAGTGGGTCCAGGTGAAGCGTTTCGCCAACAGGGCTACTGACTGGGCACTGGAAACTGAACTGGCATGTGTGGGTGCGCGTGTGTGCATGTGAGTGTGCATGCACCTGGAAGCCATGTTGACCTCTAGTGACTGATCCCTACTGGGGGCCTGGAGGTGGCTGAAGAAAGCCTGCCCTCGCCTCTCACCTCTGGTATTCCAAGGAGGTCTCCCATCCAAGTATTTTCCAGAGTCGACCCTGCTTCGCTCCCAAGATCTGACGAGATCGGGCTTGCCTGGGCTATCCAGGTCGGGGCACTGTGCAGACTTTTAAAAAGCCATTCTTTCTTTTCTTTTTTGTACAAAAGCAGCCAACATTTTGCCACTACTTTTTCCAGTTCTCTCTCTCCCCCATTTTGTGTGTGTGTGTGTGAGAGAGAGAGAGACAGACAGACAGAGAGAGAGAGACAGAGACAGAGAGGGAGAGAGAGAGAGAGAGAGAGACAAAGACAGACAGTCAGACAGGGAGACAGAGAGACAGAGAGAGAAGTCCTATCAAGTCTTTTCAGACTTCTGGCAACCCTATGAATTAATGACCTCCAAAACGTCCTATCATCAATAGCCTTGCTCAGGTCTTGCAAACCGAGGGCCGTGGCTTCCTCAACTGAGTCAATCGATCTCATGTTGGGTCTCCCTCTTCTCCTGCTGCCTTAAGACTTTCCCAGTAACTCTGGGCTTCTCAAAATGTGACTCAAGTACGATATATATCCACCCAGGCAAAAAAGAAGAGTGTGCGTCCTCGCCCCCCTCCACTGCCATCCCCAGAGTTGAAAGGGAAGAAATCTTCATCTGACAAGGGAGTTTCTACAACGAGACAGACGTACCTGTGAATGTCCTCCATGGAGAAGGCCAGGCTTCAAAGCAGAAGTGGAGTCCCCCGATGGTAAATTAGTTCCCACTGTTCTACCTGGAACACACACTTAAGGATAAGGCAAGTGTTTACGCCTGTTTCAAAGAATCACTTACCCAAAGGCACTGCAAACTACTGCTTCAGGGGGTCTGCTTCAGCCCCTCCGAGGAACGAGAGTCTGCCACCCTGGACTTCCTGGGACACACCACCTGGTTTATGCTGATGGACGGGAGGGATGGACACTTTCTCCAGCCCCC